ACATACCTAACCAGCATATGCTGGTTTTTTCAACAGGGTTATCATTTACTGTGTTGTAGTAAGTGTGGTAAATAATTTACTGCTTTGAACACTTTCTCCTTCAGTAATCATTTACTGTAGATAATTATTTGACATTTCAAAAACACTGTATTACTGTACACTTTCAATGCAATGGGGAGAATGACTCCGTGTTACTAGAATCATATTTCTCGTTTTAAAGCTTCATAGCTTTTATGGGTGCAAATAACACTAATTTTGTTCGGGTTGTTAGTTTAAATCCGTGTGCATCTCCAGCAGACAGAGGAAGGCATCATGCTGGATGAGCTGGTTGTGAAGGAGCAGCCGTCCACAGACACAGAGGAGTCAGTGCCATGTTTCCAGACCCCAGGCCCCACGCTCACCTTCCATCATCTCCGCTACCACATCAAAGAACGATCAGGGATGTTTAGCAGGGAGTGGGTTGAAAAGGACATCCTCAAAGATGTCAGGTAAAGGTTTGCCATGTTCTACCAATCAACATTTTGAACACGCGTACTCATTCTTTAAGCATAAACCTGTAGGTCATGAGAAACATAACTTCAGTCAAACTTTTGACTGGTAGTGTAGCTTTAGATTGTTTTACAGCTATTGCTTAAATAGCTCTGCACCACCCAAGAAAATAGCCCCCAAGTCATGATATCAGTCAGCTTAGATCTGACATGAACTGGCCTGCCCATCTGTATTTGCAGGGTGCAGTGAAATGGACAATATTCACAGGGCTTTAGCCTGCAAGGATCTGAAAGACTCAGTTTATCTCAAATGTAATACATTGGATACCCGCATCATATCAGCCATCCTGCTCTCTAGATAGTGAAAAACACACCGTTAATGAATAACAGTTTTTAATAACATGTTAATATGTTTTTTCTGCAGTGTATGAGGAAGAATCAGTGATACACAGTTCAGTGGTTGCGCAAAGAGCTGCTCACAATCCAAAGAACTTGTCTAGTTGAAAGCAGTCCAGAAGGTGATGTTTTCCATCATCTGTTGCAGTGCGATCATGAACCCTGGAGTGAATGCTATTATGGGCCCGACTGGAAGTGGAAAAACATCGTAAGCGCATGATCATGTATTAATGTTACACTGAAAATATCGAAATCTCATTGTATTCGATAAAATATCAAAGCAACTGAAATTCTTTTTAGAGGACGACATCACAAGCACACGTTTCGAGCTCTTTAATTTGACAAAATCACTTTAGCTTTCAGTTATCTCTTAATTGGATAGTTTAAGCAAAAATGAAATTCTGTCATTGTTTACTCACCCTCTTGTCGTTTCAAGACTGTTTGACTACAGTGGAAGTCAATGGGGCCCAAAGATGTTTGGTGCCTAGCGTTCTTCAAAATGTCTCCTTTTGTATTCCGCAAAAGAAAGTCATTCAACATAAGGGGGAATAAATCATGGCAGAATTTTTGTTTTTGGGTGCACTATCCCTTTTTACAGTTTTTCTTTTCTTTTGAAAACCTAGCTTATTTGCATTTACAATACATAGCATTAATTACAGTGTGTCTGTCTTCAGGCTTCTGGATGTCATTGCAGGATGGAAAGATCCTAAGTGCCTAAAATCAGGCCAGGCTCTAGTTGACAACACCATTGTGACCTCTGACCTCAGACTCTGCTCTGCCTATGTAGTCCAGGTGGGGAGACAATACTCTCTGTGGCCTTCTAAAAGACATATTACAAAAAACTGATATATGGACTGCTGTTCAAAGATTCGGTTAGATTTTTTTTTTAATGTTTTTGAAAGAACTCTCTTATGCTCATCAAGGCTGCATTTATTCGGTCAAAGTTACAGGTAAAACAATAATATTGTGAAATATTACAATTTCAAAAAACTGTTTTCTAATTGAATCTATGTTAAAATGTAATTGATTCCTGTGATCAAAGATGTATTTTCAGCATCATTACTCCAGTCTTCAG